GGCCAAGGCGAAGACAAGAACGCGAGGAACTACGTTCCCCCGGACGATGGTCTCCCAACGCCCCCTACTCCTGCCATTGGTACACAGACCGCAACAGTTATGCGCCTTTCCCCGCATTGAAAACATGACCGATCCCAATTGCTAGAAACTGCTACAGCTACTCCGGCAAATTCATCAACTTGCGCCGGTGGTACTGCAGACTACCCCTGCTAAGGGCCTTGGTTAGGAGGTCCGCGTGTTGCTCCGTTGTCGGAACGAATTTGACCGAAATATCCCCCGACCTAAACAATCCGCGGATGAGATGGAACCTCACGTCGATGTGTTTCGTGCGACCTTAGCTGAGGGGGTTCTGCACCAACGCTATGGCCCCCTGGTTGTCCTCAAGGACCTGGATGTTGTTACGTCTGGTCTCTGGGGCAACAAACGAAAGCACAGCACGGACAAACAACGCCTCCTTGACGCCCTCCCCGGCAGCAATGTACTCGGCTTCCGTCGAAGACAAAGACACGATGCTCTCTGTCTTGCTACCATGGCTGACTACGGTACCTCCAACCGTCGTCGCCCGTTGGTAGGTGATGCCCAGGTCCCCTTCAAGTAGCCGAGGATCTTCTAGATGGCATCCCAGTGCCTATTTGCCGGGGCGTGGGCGTGGCGCGCTACCGCATGCACGGCGAACGAGACGTCTGGACGCGAGAACGTTGACACCCACATCATGTTGCCGATGACCTCCCTCACCGGCCACTCCCCTCCCTTCTAGTCATCTCGCTTCGGTCCTATGGGCAATTCACTTAGCTCGTGGGATGCCAGAGCCGTCTCGAAGGCGTCTGGCGAGATGAGCATAAGGTCCACCGCACCCAGCAGGAAGTCCTCCGCCTCTTGGCGCGCAGCGTGGGCCTCTTCCGCGCGCTCGAACAGCAACTCTCGCACCGCCCTCGCTTCTAGCCCTAACGCCACGTGAAGTACCGCCGAGAGTATCCAGATGGTGAACTCCTCCGTGATGCTGACGGGCAGGCTCGCTGCCGAAGCGAGCAAGGCTTCGGCACTTGTCGGCGACGGGGGCGACTCGTACCTCGGGTTTCGGCGAGGGTTCTCCCTGGTTCGGCGGCTGGTTAGTTCCGCCGGCTTGTCGAAGAGGGCGAGCCGCCGGGCCTCTGGCCCACGGAGCGCCGGGAGGTCCGTCTCGCTGTCGCTGCCGCTGCTGCTGTCGCTGCCGCCGTCGTCGCCGCTGCTGCTGCCGCTACCGCGGCTGCTGCTGCTGCGGCGGTCGTCCTCGCCGCCGCCCACATCGGCCGTGCCGTTCGACGTGGTAGATGGGGCGACGCTCGCGCCCTCCCTGCTCGAGGGGGCGCCATCGCCAGCGTCGCCCGCGCCCGACTCCTGGGGCGCAGCCGGGGGCGCAGCCGGTGGCGCCGCCGGCGCTATGCGCGCGGGCGGCCCCGCGGGCCCCGGGGCTGCCGTCGTGCCAAGGTTGAAACCTGGTCCTCCATCCACAGGTTCTCCCTCCGCCCTCCGTCCACCTTGGCTCGACGCGCCCTCCCCAATCTCGTCCTCTCCAGTCACGAATTCCTCTTCCTCCTCTGCGATGGGAGGCAGCGATGCTCGGGTCGACGTCTTGTTGGGGATGGGCTTGGAAAGCCCGTTCGCCTTCGAGCACCCCAGGTACTCCCGGAGCTCGCCCACCAGCGTCGTCCCCTGCTGCTTCGCCGTGGTCCTCAGCAGCACCTCTTGGGCGTGGCCGTGCGCGCAGTGGAAATCGTTGATGTCAACCGGGNTCAACGGGGGTGCTGGGCGCTTTCGCGTTGCCAGGAGCAATTGCGGCACAGGCATGTTCGGTGTGTGTGCGGAAACCGTTTTGGACGTACAGGTTACCGCATCGGGGGAAGTACAACGACTTCGCCTCTTCTTTCTCCAACTCCAACTCGTGTTTGTCTAGGCTTTTGGTTTTGAACCCGTCGTCGAAGAGGGACGTCAGAGAGACGAGGGGGTGTAGTCTAATCGAGGAACGTATGCAACCCGTTTCAAGAACAGGTCTGTTGTCCCGTCGCGCGAGCTAAGGGTGACCGTTACGTCGCCGTACCCTCCAATAGGGAAGGTTTCTCCGGCGGCGACGCGCACAAGTCGATCACACTCCTGATATCGGACGAGCCCATCTGAGTTCGCGAACATGTGGGTGGTAGCGCCGGTATCGGCAACATACCTACCCCGCCTAGCCTGCTCTACACCCCCTCGACCAACGACTTTGTGACACTCGCCTGAGATGTCACCGACCACCAGCGCTTCTTCTGCCACGTCCAGTGCTGTGGCGTCCGCAGACGTCCCCCCCGCCGGCACTTCCACCACGAGCACCGCCTTCTCGGTCGGGCATTTTCTCTTGTCGTGCCCGTAGCCCTTGCATGTCTCACATCGCATGGGCTTGCTCTCGGTGCAGTCGGCCACCTGGTGGCTCTTCTTGCCGCACCGGAAACAGCGACCGCGCATGCTACCCACATCGTCGTCGCCGCCTCCGCCGCCTCCGCCGCCGCCACCAGCCTACGCGCCATCCTCTTTCCCCTTCTGGTTGCCGCCGCCGCCACCCTTGCGGCGGCCGCCGTTGCCGCGGCCCGGCGCTCCTCCCCCACCGCTGCCGTCGCTTGCGAGGAGAGCATGCTCCGCTCTCCGCTGGCCCTTCGAGGCATTTGTCCCCTCCGGAAGGCTTGCGTGCACCGTGCTCACAATCCTGACGATCTCGGCCCTATCCAGCGCCGTTGCTGTCTCCAACAGGAACTTCGATTGTTGGTACTCGGGTGGGAGGGAACCAACGAAGTGGGCGAGAACGAAGGGTTGTTCAGCATTGAGCCCCTTCTCGCGCAGGCGGGTATACAGCAGCTCGAGTGAGTAGAGGTGCTCGATGGGGTTGCTATTGCTGTGTGTGTGGATTGCAAAGTCGAATATCTTCCGCATCAAGGCCTGTTTGGACCCCTGTGACTCTGGATCGTAGACCTTCTCCAATTCCGTGAGGAACTCTTTTGCTGACGTACAGTTACTAATGATTGCTTTGTCAGCTTCTTTTACCACAGCAGTAATGATAAAATGGAACGCCTGAAGCTCTCGTTGGACTTCTGCTCTCATGTGCCCCCTACGGAGCAGTTTAGAAGTCGGCAAGTTTGGGTCGCCCACGGGGATATTGCCCTCTGCATCTCCCATAAACTGCCCGTCCAAGTCGATGGTCTTCGCAGCTTGGATGAACGATTTTCGCCACGAATCAAATCCGTGGCTACAGCTTTTTCCGTCTAGAAGCGGGGTATTGACCGTCACTCGTGTCTGGTGGCTACTGCTGTAGCCGTCGAGGTATTCTCCACTTCCTCGAATCACGGGTATCTCACCTGGGGGGTTTAACCCCCTCGCTCCCCCGCAGTCCGGTCCTATGCCCGGGCCCACTCCGGCTGGTCCAACAG